CCCTTAAGAACAAAGAAGGCAGGTTGGACAATCACAGATGTTTGAGAGAAAACTAGGAGCTTGGGCCACGCTGAACGAAAAGGTACATTACCTACATGAGACTACTCTGTCAAGAATGGGAGGTGGCTGTTTTATCTAATGCACAGAAACCAACACACAGGGAATAAAGGAAAATGAAGACAGAGAGTAATATGTTCCAAACAAAAGAACAAGATAAAACTCCAGAAATGGATCTTAATGAAAGGGAGATGAGTGATTTACCTGATAAAGAGTTCAAAATAATGGTCATAAAGATGCACACTGAGGTCAGGAGAATAATCTATGAAACAAGTGAGAATTTAAAAAAAGAGATAAAAAATATAAGAAAGTATCAAATAGAAATTATAGAGCTGAAGAATATAATAATTGAACTGAAAAATTCAACATCAGACTAAATCCCATTTACAATAGCAACAAAAACAATAAAACATTTAGGAATAAATTTAACCAAGAAGGTGAAATATCTTTACACAGAAAACTACAAGACATTGATGAAAGAAACTGAAGACACAAATAAATGGAAAGCTTTCTCATGTTCAGGGATTGGAAGAATTAATATTCTTAAGACGTCCATCCTAGCCAAAGCCATCTATGGATTCAGAGCAATCCCTATCAAGAGTCCAGTGGCATTTTTTACAGAATGAGAAAAAACAATCCTAAAATTTATATGGAACCACAACAGACCCCGAATAGCCAAAGAAATCCTGAGAACGAAGAACAAAGCATGAGGCATCACACTTCCTGATTTCCACCTATATTATAAAGCTGTAGCAATCAAAAACAGTATGGTACTGGCATAAAAACAGACACATAGATTAATGGAACAGAACCAAGAGCCTAGAAATAATCCTATGCATATACAGTCAACTAATGTTTGACAAGGGAGCCAAGAATACTCAATGAAGAAAACACAATCTCTTCGATAAACTGTGCTGGGAAAAAGACATATAAAAGAATAAAACTAAACCCCTATCTTACACCACTCACAAAAATTAACTCCAAATGGATTAAAGACTTAAATGTAAGACTGAAAACCACAAAATTCCTAGAAGAAAACATAGGGAAAAAGCTCCTTAACATGAGTCTTGGCAAAGATTTTTGGGATGTGACACCTAAAGCACAAGCAACAAAATAAAAAACAAAGAAGTGGGACGACATCAAACTAAAAAGTTTCTGCACAGCAAAAGAAATAATCAACAAAATGAAAAAACAATCTAAGATATGGGAAAAAATATTTGCAAATCACATATCTGATAAAGGGCTAATATCCAAAATATATAAAGAACCCAAACAACTCAATAGCAAAAAAAAAATCCAATTAACAAAGGGCAGAGGATCAGAATAGACATTTTTCCAAAGACATACAGATAGCCAACAAGTACATGAAAAAATTCTCAACATCAGTAATCATTAGGGAAATGCAAATCAAAACCACAATGAGATATCACCTCATGCCTCTTAGAATGGCTATCATCAAAAAGACAGGAGATAACAAATGCTGGGGAGGATGTGCAGAAAAGGAACACTTGTGCACTGTTGGTGGAATTGTAAACTGGCACACTAGGGAAAACAGTATGGAGGTGGCTCAAAAAATTAAAAATAGAATTACCTTCTGATCCAGTAATTCCACTTCTGGGAATATATCCAAAAGAAACAAATATACTATATCAAAGAGATATCCACACCCCTATGTTTATAGCATCATTATTTATAATAGCCAAGACATGGAAATAACCTAAGCGTCCCTCGATGGATAAAAAGTTGTGATATGCACAATGGACTATTAGCCATAAAAAAGAAGGAAATCCTTCCATTTGCAGTAACATGGATGGACCTTAAGGGCATTAAGCTAAGTGAAATAAGTCAGGCAGAGAAAGACAAATACTGTGTGAGCTCACATATATGTGGAATCTAAAACAAATAAACAAATAAAAGAACAAAAAAATCTCATAGAAAAGAGATCGGTTTTGTGGTTACCAGAGGCAGGGGTTGGGGAGTAGGGGAATAGGATGAAGGTGGTCAAGTATACAAACTTCCAGTTATAAGACAAATTAGTACTGGGGATGTAATGTACAACATGATGACTACAGTTAACACTTCTGTACGGTATACTTGAAAGTTAAGGGAGGAGATCCTAAGACTGCTCATCGCAAGGAAAAAAACATTGATTTTCTTCTTTTTTTTTTTTATATCTGTATGAGATGATGGATGTTAACTAAGTTTATTGTGGTAATCACTTCACAATATATGTAAATCAAGTCATTACGCTGCACACCTTCAATTTATGCAATGTTGTATGTCAATTATACCTTAATAAAACAGAAAAAAAATGAGAGTAAACTCTTTGGCCTGAAAAGGCAAATATGCCAATAATAAATCAAAATTTGATACTTTTCTAGACTACATATGGAAGATTAAATGCTAAATTTTCAAACAGGAAACGTTCAATCCAATATAGATAAGAATCCAGAAAAGAGAAAGATTGAGGAACTAGGATTTTCATAGTAATTATTCTAAGACTTTGGAGAAAATGCAGTTTGAAGAGCACAAATAAACTCATCAATTCTAAAACATAAGCATCTCTGCTATAACATTATGTATGCATTCCTTTAAAATGTCCCTTGAGGCAAAATCAAGCACCAGAAATAACTAGGCTCGTAGAGAAAATATCGCAGAGGTAAACCACTCAAAAACCCATGCAACTTTGTAACCAGAGTCCTAACAAAAACTATCACAATGGTAATAAAACTTAGCACTGATGAATCTCCACTAGTGTTTTCACCCAGGACCACAGTCAATCAATCCTTTGTAGGTTTAAATGCAGGGTCTCACCTCCCTCCTTTGAGATGTAGCTCCTTGAGGGCAAAAATTCTCAATAGAGATCAGTTTCATCAAAAATTTAAAATCTGATATTTAGAAGTATCTTTGCAGCTTCTTCACATGCACTTGCAGTTTCACTAGATACATTAACATTGTAGAAAGCAAAATGAGTCTTGATAGCATCAAATCATTCAAAACTGACTCCAAAGGAAAGTACCTCGGCAGGATTTTTAGCTGTTTTCTCTTAAGACTTCATTTATTGCTAAGATTTTTCTCTTTAATAGTGAGAAAGCTTCCCTTGATTGTTTCAAAAGCTGCTAAATCGGTGTTAACAAATGGAAATTCTGGTTTATACTTAAATTCATTTCTCTATTTACCAATCCTCTGTGAACTGGTTTGTGACATAGAACCATGTGTTCTGTTGTAGCAAAAAGCTATATTCAAATTTGAAGGCTTAACACTACCCCCCAAATTATTATAATTTTTACTATACCTTTGCTGGTTTATTTTCTGGAAAAAAAAATAGAGAGATAATAAGTATGAATACATATACACACATATTACAAGCACCTTCAAAATGGATCCGAATGTTATTGTTTTACATTATTTCCTAGTTGTATAAATTTTCAAATATTTTTAGACAGTAGAATATTAAGAAAGGATATAAGTAACCTAAAATTGTTCAACTTTAATTCTCTAGAAAAATCTATATTGTACACTGATGTTTAAAATCCTATATACATTAAAAATATATGAGAAATGTTTCGCAAGAAGATACTTTATTATGAAAATACAGATCACCAAAGATACATTTCCACTACCTAGGTAAACATCATGTGTGATTTTCCTTTTCTGATTGTAGGGCACAGCAACAGATATTGTAGAATTTTTAAAAGAGAAACTCCGTTTTCACACTCTGATCCTCAGACGTTCTACAATCCTGCTGGTTCAAACAGAGAAGAGTGAAGCATTCAAGTAGAGTTTCACAAAAAGACTAGTTTATAGATTTTCATAAATGCATGTTGAAGTTAAGGAAGAAAAATACAGAGTAAGATATGAATTACTGCCTCACATTTCCGTCTGCCAGCAGTGACCGTGAATAGGGTCACGTCTGCACTGACACACAGGGTCACTGACTCATGTGAATAACAAAGGAGAAATTTTGTCAGTTGTTCCTTCTCCCAAGAGAACAAAGAAACATTGTAGAGAAGTTTTTGTTTTATACCAATCTGATTCTTACTCCAATATTTGGAAAATTGCTATATAATTTGGATGGATGTACAAGGATGTATAAAATAATTATAAGAAAAACTTCCTATAGAAACACATTTAAGCTTAAGAAAAATTCCACAAATGGTTGACACATTTTCTACATTCAAATTTGAATATTTCTCTACAAGAAATAATTATGATTAATCATAAAATGAAATATAAAAGCACAAAAATGGATATCAATTCAGGTATCAGGTAGTTTTTACCAATAAAATTCAAGTCAAAGTAAAAATAGAGCATTATATGATCATATCAAAAGTTATGCCTACTAAAATTAAAGGAGCATGAAAATATGTAGTATTGCAAACTGGCCAATTGACCAGAGAAATTTTCTGAGGAAACCTCTCCATCATCAAATAAAAGATAAATAAAATGTTAATTTTTAAAAGGTTTAAAATAGCCTTCTTTTGGAGAATAAATATGACCTTAATTTAAATTTTTATTATATGAACTGGATTGGCACATCTAATTTTATTTTGAAAAATTATTGACAAACATTCACAGCCCAAATAAAAAGTAACAAGAATAAACTATATGAAACCTGTCATCCTACATAACCAAAGGCCATACATTATTGCAGTCAGAATCAACTTATGCATATTTTCTCACTTCCACTTCATTCTTTTCTTTCTAAGTACTATCTTTCTGTTGAAAGAATTAAATGTGTATCTTATAATATCTTTTAAAAACACAAAACACAGAGACTATATTATTAAATTTGTACTCAAAATATAATAAAATTTATAGGATCATATGAATCACATTCCTTTATTGAACATGTAACTATAATATAATTATTTTAAATTTTATTAATATAATATTTCATTGATGGATTGACAATGTGTAATTCTTACACAATGATGATATAGTTATAAATCAGTTCTTTCCTTTTTTTTTACTTTTAGATGCTTCACAAGTGTAGGCAGGATGTCACTGTTTTCCTTTGGTAAATATTTGCATAAGCCAAATGCAATAGCAGTGAAGAAGATAGTAAATATTTTGCAAAAAAAGCCTGAATTAAAAAAAAATACAACCATCAGATGAGTCAATGTATTTAGAGTAAAAATGTTTGAGGAAAGAATTCTATTTACTAAAAAAAAAGGTAAATATATTTCACCTGTAAAGGTATCAATTTCCCAATTGTAAAATGTAATTAATGTCATAAACTTATATCAACTTACTTAAAGGAGATTTTTTAAATGTTTACAAAATGTTTTAGATTTCTTAAACATATAGCCGAAGAAAAATGCAAAGTGTTCTATTATTTCACAGAATGTATTAAGTCTAAAACATAAAAATACATTTCTACTTTCAAAACTTAACTGTCAATAGGAACTGAAACCTGTTTAAGTCACTTCATGCAGCTTTACTCTTTCTGAAATATTCATCACTTTCCAAATATAAATAGAAATATTTTAGAAAAATTAATTGATTATGTAGGGTTTTTAAAATTCATTTTCATGTTTCAAGTTTCAGGAAGTTAATATATTATAAGTGTTATATAAAAGTACTTAAACTTTGGATGAAAATGATCCTGTTAATTAAAGTAAAAAATATTTTACAGAAGCAATATCAATTATCTGACAATATCAATTACAGTGGTTTCAAAAGATAAAATAGGAAACATTAATGAGTCAATGTCATTTATAATCACACAATATTTCATGTATTTATTTATAACAACCAAATACTGTAAACAACCCAAATATACCTTAACAAGAGAATGGATAAACTGCAGTATATTCACAAAATGAAATAGCATTCAGAAATTTTTAAAAAGCACAAACTATTGCTATTGAACAACATGGATGAATCTCCCAAAAGCATAATATTAAGCAAGACAGACAAAAAAAAAACAAAAAAACAAAGAAAAAAACACCAGTATACACAGTATTCCACTTGCATAAATTTCTAGAACAGGCAAAACCAACATACTGTAATAGAAATCTGAAAGGCGTTTATCTGTGGAAGACGGAAATTGACTGGAAAGGGGCACAGGAAAAATTTCTATAGCTTGTTTTGGGTGCTGGTTCCACAGGTGCACTCAATTATCAAAAGCCATCAAACTGGACACCTAAGATCTATGCTAATTGAATGTTAATTATATCTCTCTCTCTCTTTTTTTAAAAGTATGACTTGAAACTTTTTTCCCAAACTAAATACAGTGTGATCAGCATCTGGATCAAGAACAAAACATTACCAACATCCCAAAAGCCCCCCTCATGTTTGCTCAAAGTCACTAACCCAAAAGGGTTAGTTTTGTTTGTTTTTGAAGTATATTTATAGAAGGTCAAAATTATGTAAGTGGAATCATACAGTGCATACTCATTTGTGTCCAATTTCTTTCTTTCGACATTATGTTTCTGTGATTCATCCATATGTTATGTAGTTGTATACCTTTCCTTCTCATTGTTGTATAGTATTCCATTGTTGATTTTATCACAATTTATTTATCCATTCCATTGTTTATTGGCTATTTGATTATCTACTTTTGGGAAGAGTTCTTTCAAGTCTATTACCAATTTCCTATTAAGTTATCTATCCTTTGCCTATTATTGATTTGTGGGAGTTATTTATATATTTTGGACATTAGTTCTTTTTCACCTTTTTCACTATCTTCTACACTGTGGTTATCCTTCCAATCTCTCATTATTTCTTTTGATGATCAGAATGTATTAGCTTTAATATAGTCTGATTTTTCTTTTATATTTAGTGCTTTTTGTGTCCTGTTTATGCAATCTCTTCCTACTCCAAGGTCATAAATATATTCTCCTATTTTTCTCAAAAGGTTTTATCTTTCGCATTTAGATCTGTAATGCATCTAGAATTGATTTTTGTATATGATGTGAGGTGGGAATCAAGATACATTTTTTTAAATATGCATATATAAAATGACTCATTACCCTTTATTTAAAAGACCATCTTTTTACAATTGCAGTATCTCCTTCCTTTGTCATAAATCAGTTGACTGTACATGTGTGAACTTGTTTCTGGATTCTCTGTTCCGTTGGTCAGTGTGATGACACTTGCACCAATACCCTACTGTATTAGTTATTATAGCTTGATAATCGATTTTGGTATCTTGTAGCATATATCTTTCAATTTTTTTTCTTCTTCAAGATTCTCTTAATAATTCTTGAACCTTTGACTTTCCATATGAATTCAATTCTCTTGTCAATTTAAAAAATAAAATACCGTCTGGGATTTTGTTTGTGATCACATTGATACTACAGCTTAATTTAGAAGTGGCATTTGAAAATCTTCCTATCTATAAACATGATACATTTTTTCATTTATTTAGGTTCTAATCTCTCTCAAATAAATTTTGTAGTTGTCAATGTAGAGGTTTTATACAACTTTTAATAGATTTTTTCTTGATACTTGGGTTTTTGATGTTATTGTATTTATTATATTATTTTTATGTTTGGTTGTGTCTAGTATATAGAAACACAATTGATTTTTGTATACTGATTGTATATTAAGCAACTTTACTAAATTCACTTAATTTCAATATATTGTATTTCTTGATATGGTTGCTAATTCCAGGTGTGTTCACTTTATAAAAATGTGTTGAGCTATTCATTTATAATATATGCTCTTTACTCAATTAATATATATATAACGTTATATTTCAATAAAAATTCTACAAAAAAAGCAAACCTGAGAAAGTGGTAAACATGACAAGTTAAAATACAAAATGTTTGCAAGAGACTTAATCATTCTCTCTACTGCAAATAAAGTAGAGCTGATGGAATCCTTCATTTGAGGTAAAAGGCACTTAATAAATCATCCCAATGAAAACAAGATTTGAGAAATATCGCAAGAATTTCCTTGCTACCAAAGGGACCTGATGGATTTATATAATAAATTTTTTACTAACTTTTTTGAATGACAAAACTTTTGAGATTCTGATGAATGCCACAGATTTCTCCAGAGAGGTAAAAAATAAAAATGGACATACAAATGTACAAACAGAGTTTTAGGATTTCAAAAATATACTAAAGTTCAACGTGGGCTGCTAGGGTTCATGGATCCCTGTTGAATAAGCCTTGCTCTTGAGTAGTGATGTGCATAGAACTTTCTGCAACAATGGCAGTGTTCTACATTTGCACTGTCCAATAGAGTTGTCAAATGTGACCACTAAGCATGTGAAATTTGGCTATTGTTAATAAGGAACTGAATTTTTAATTGCATTTAATTAAATTTAAATTTAAACAGCCACATGTAGTTAATGTCTACCATATGGGACAGGACGGCTTGAGAGTCTCTCGTACAGTTGTCTTCAAAGTTTACCATGGTTAAAATCACCTGAGGTGCTTTATTAAAAATACTGCAATAAACAAAAAATTAAAAAAAATAAAACACATGTCTACCACTAATCCCTGGTATTCTAATTCAGGGCCTCAGAACTTATATTTTTAGCAAGCATTGCAAGTGATTCTGATTCAAATGACTCATGGAATATAGTTCAAAATGTACTAGTTGACACTAAATTGCCACAAACGTGTATTCCTATTGCAGTTTCCTGTGTTTGCCCTTTCTGCTGTAATTCCTTATGTTCTTTATTATTATCTCCTTAGCAGGATCTCTGGTAGTTCATCAACTTTCTCATTTATGTGCTGTGTTTAAAAATAGTTAAGCATGTTACAGTTATATCTAAAACAAAAATTAAAAGGCTCAGCAGTGTTTTAAGCGGACTTCCTTAAGAACAATGCCTTGTTTTGTTGAATTATCTCTGAGAAATTAATTTGACTTCTTAAATGTCATTTTACTTTAATTTTTTTGTTGTTGTTCTTTTTTTTTTTTTTTCTGAGGAAGATCATGAGCTAACATCCATGCTAATCCTCCTCTTTTTTTGCTGAGGAAGACCGGCTCTGAGCTACCATCTAGTGCCAGTCCTCCTCCTTTTTTTCCCCAAAGCCCCAGCAGATAGTTGTATGTCATAGTTGCAGATCCTTCTAGTTGCTGTATGTGGGACGCGGCCTCAGCATGGCCGGAGAAGCGGTGCATCGGTGCGCGCCCAGGATCCGAACCCGGGCTGCCAGTAGCTGAGCGCGCACACTTAACCGCTAAGCCACGGGGCCGGCCCGACTTCAACTTTTTTTAATTTTATTTTACTCAGTGTTCAATGTTGACTAAGCTTGCTGGATAACTGATTTCTGAATTAGAAAGGCATTAGAAGGCATTGCTGTATACTGTTTATCAAACAGGTATTTGTTACTGTTAAATATTAGAGTCTATCATTAAATGGTTCTTTGAATTACTGAACACACTCAGTAAAATTACAAAACATATAAACACTTTTAAACATTTATCACAGTGATAGTATCTACACAATAAAATCATTGAATGTTAGTGCTGATTAAGACTTCAGAAATTATGTAGTCCAACATCCTCATTTTACAGATGAATAAATTGAGATCTAGGAAGATCTAGGGAACTTTCCAAAGTAATACAAAACATATCTAGGCTTTCCCAATGCTTTGACCATAGGTTATACCACCATAGCATTCCAATTCCATGTATCTCTTATTTATTCAACAAATACTGAATGCTCTCTATGTGCCCAGCACTATTATATCATTGAGCAAAAGACAATTGAAATCTACATTTAAGTTGCAGTAAGAGTATCCTGATGCTCTTTAGTGGTGTACAATTTTTTTTTAAGTTATCCCATTTTTACTTTGGAAATGGAAAGGGTCACAAGGCCAAGCAAGTTGGTTGCATATGCACACAGGCAAAATTACTTCCCAAATTGAAATTCTGCTAATTATCACCCTTTATTCAGGAATAGCATAAAACAATTGTGTATTTAATGCAGTGTCTCAAATATTTACATAAATTCTATAGTACTTTAGTTTCTAAAATATTTTCTATACAATAATATAAGGCTTCTTTAATCATCAATTATGCATTTATTCAGTTTATTATCGCTGTACCTTACTATAAACAAGCATAAGTTTTTAAAACAATTTTACTCTCTACACTTCTTCAACAGATGTCACTTACATACTCCAACCAATAGGTAGGCCATTTTTGTCTTGTTATAGATCCAACAACTTCCTAAGTTTCCACAGCGTCCAGCATCCCGAAAGATACAAGAACTTTCTCCTACAATTTTAAAAACTACTGGTCCAGGTATAGTCCCTATGAAAAAGGCAATGATTGTAAATTCTCCATGAAAACACTATAGGGTGAGATCAGAATGATTTTTATCCTCAAATTAAACATATACATATATATTTAATCATCATCATTGTAAACATATCATTTAAAATTATCTAAGAATTTACTTATAGGTAGGATTATTAATAACTGAAAACAATGATTTTGTGCCTTTGAAAAATCCTTATCCCTGTAGGTATAAAAAAATTAGTAGATTTGCATCTTTTTAGAATGGTGTGCATCTTGTTATTTAGTTGACATCTCAAAATTTGTTTATTTTTGAGTGAAAAGTTTAGGGAAAAGTGTTTAAAACAGAGAAACTAAATATTGATTTTATGAACTCAGTATACCTTCAAAGATTTCAAATTGGGAAATTCTCAACCATTGAAAAATTAGTTTCGTAATACAATGTGTATCTATTATTTATCAAGATATTGGAAGAAACAACTGAAAATGCAAATGCTTTGCTACATTTGTTGCAGCCCTAGATTCAGATGACCTCATATCCAGAAGAACAGCTGTGTGCTACACGAGGGAAATTTCCTTACACTCTCAGAGATAACATCTCCTCAGCAACAATGTCACTTTCAGCTAAAAGTGAATGAACAGTTCTTTAAAAAAAAAAAGCCACCTCAAAGACATTAGATCCAAGTTCTCAGAACTGACATGTCTAATGAACAACCATCTTCCTGGAGACACTTTCCTATGCCTCACGACTCTTGATTCCTGCCATAGACCACTATCTATCACCAGATTTCCCAGTCTCACTGTTTATAGTTGCTCAAGGTGAAAAACCTAAGCTTACTACTCATTTTCTCTATTTCTCTATTTCCCACCATATTTTTACAACCTGTGATAAATCTTTCTAACACTAACTCCAAACATATCTTGGATATGTTGATTTCTCCCTGTCTCCACTACGACCCCCACAATCCAATTTAATATAACTCTGACTCAGACTTCAGCAAAAGCCTCCCTTTTCTTTTCCTCCACATTTATCTTCTATAAGTATTTCCCTCTCCAGCAGCAGAGTTATCTTTTAAATGTAAATCAGATAATATCCATCCTCTGCTTAAAATTCTCTGATGGCAAAACTCTGCAAGACCCAGAGACAGCTTATGTCTAAAATATCGTCTTATTCCACCGTCACCTATTCAAACATGCATCAGCCTCACTGGCTTCCTTTCCGATGCAGGAAACTGTGCTCTTGCTGTTTCTTATGCTTCCTCTTCCATTACAAGTCTGACTTTATCTCGTGGATCATTGTCCCTCATGAAAATATGCTCTCATTTTCCCAATTAAAAAGGCATTTTTAACCTCGCAAATTGATCCAGCTATAAAATCATGTCCCTGATCCCCATCAGAGCCACACTTAGATTTTTCTACATTCTTAACTCCATTTATCGTATGTCTTTCATTCTTCAATCCAGTCCAATCTTGTTTCCTTACTCTATCCATATTTTTAATCAACTTCTTGAATCAGAGGACCTAATATAGTCATAATGTGGATTTGAAAGCTAGTTTTTGCTATTTTAAGAAAACCTGAAGTACAGAGTGCCTTACTCTCAGCAAAATCAATTTGTTCTTTGGACATAAATTCTTAAAAACATCATATTCAGTATCTTTGGTGATGAAAATGTTTAAAAGCGCTAGTCTATGTTAGTGACTTCCCAAACATGCAAGCGATGTATAGTTGCTGTGCTTATGTGTTTTGTTTCAGCTTACCAAACCACTTATATGAGCTTGATGAATATACTTCTGATCAAATAGATTCTCTTCTAATCGAATATAATATTAACGCATATTTTATACGACAGTTAGAATGGACTTTACATTAGGTATTGTCTTTTTACATTAAGTAGTATCTCCTAAATTCTGCGAAGCAGCTCCACCATTCACTTGTTTTGTGTCAGTTTACCATTATTATTTATTTGAAATTCTACATATACATGTAGACACACACACATATCAAAAAAGAAAGAATTCAGTGAAACAAAAAATTGCCAAAAGTCCATACCTAATATTCTCAAAATCACATAGGTCATACCCAAGGCCACAAAACGTTGTTTGTCAGATACAGTCCTGCAAGCGAACAGCAATGATATCATTAAAACATCATTATTAGCTACAGAGAATATTTGCTAGGTTCAAGGTTAAATTGTTTTTCTTGTGCATTAATTAGACTAAGAATCTTTAGCCAGTTGACACAGTTCAACTTGGTTGAATTAAAGAACTGCAACTTCTCCCATTTCTCCATATTCTGCCCCTTGCCAACCGATTCCAAAGCTGCTTGCTCTTCACAAGGAGCAAGCATTTATGGCCCACACTCTCTGCCCTAGCCTCCTTTTCCTTTGCTGGAAAAAACTTAGCACTAGCTTTCACACTTCTCTTCCTTCATTCTGTGGTACATGCCCATTGTTTTAGATTTCTTCTTTTTGCCCCTGTGAGATCCACTCTCTACCTTTCTCTACCTTGCTCTCTGCCCTGGCAGGCTAACCTAAATGCACTACATCAATAGGCTCTCTTGCCTTCTGGCATCTGATTGGGTTCTGCAATGGGGCGCTCTGCAGTGAGGAAGAAAAGTGAGGTCAATATCTTCACTCCCAGGCTCCCTCCCTGCAGAGTTAAGTCAGGCTGACTGGGTCCCCAGGCAAAGCGGTCCCCTCTCAGGTCTATCTCCTTCCTACCACTGTTTCCCTTTGGGCCTGGGGTGGTAACAGACCAGAGGCACTGTGCTATACCTTGGGATTCCTATACTCTGCCCACACTTTATTTATTTATTTTTTTTTTTAAAGATTTTATTTATTCAGTTTTTTCCCCCCAAAGCCCCAGTAGATAGTTGTATGTCATAGGTTCACATCCTTCTAGTTGCTGTACGTGGGACTCGGCCTCGCGTTGGACGGAGAAGTGGTGCCTCAGGGCGCTCCCGGGATCCGAACCCGGGCCGCCAGCATCAGAGCGCGCGCACTTAACCGCTAAGCCACGGAGCCGGCCCTGCCCACACTTTAAATAGCCACATTATTCAACCTTACTTGAACTGTCCTAATTTGAGGGTCTGCCAGAACTCCTCCTGTTACTCTCACTATCGAAAAGCTAAAATAAACAAAAAATAACTTTCCTAAATATAAAGAAGGAAGATCTCTGTATTGCCTATTAGTCAAACCAAGTATTTGTTTGAAAAAGAAAAATAATGCATTACATCACATAGTAGTAGTCTGTAAAATAAATTGAAAATGCGGTAAAAAATAACCTTTGAACATTTTAGGAAGTAAAAATGTAAGAGCTACGTTTTGAATGGACATTTTAAATAAACTCTATGTTTATCTTTTGTTTCTTTGTTCTAGAACTTGAACAATAAAATAGTATGACCGATATTTCCATCCAAAATGACTCAATTTATTAAAATGTAGCATACGTATAATATTTTGTGACAATTTTGCAAAAAGTGAGACAATTCCACCCATATCAACCTGCTAAAAATATATATTCCTTCCTCAAATGTTTACTACTAGGGAAATGAAAACAAATTAACCAATTCTCAAATGATAATTAAATTTTTAAATAAAAAATAATTTACACTTTTATTATGAGCAGATTTATTAAAGGTAAAAGAAGTAAAATGTCACATTATAGAACCACATTTTAGTATAAAGTTTTTGGTAGAAAGTGGAAATGTTCATATGCCTAACTATACTGGAGTGTTCTGCTTCATTCAGCAAAGTAGTTTTCTTATATGTAATATGATACTGGTGCTCTCGGAGGCATATATAGAGTTGACCATAACTCATAAGTATAATCATTAAGAAGTATCTATGTATCTTCAGCTTGATTATAACCATCTTTCTAACTGATTTACAAAACAAGATTAAAAGATCAATGATTCCTAGGATTTTCTAAAATAGGTTAAATGAACAGCCCAAAAGTAAATAATAAATATGTATTGAAAAACAAATTTTTAATGAAAAACTACTATGTTTTAACACTGCTTTTTTGTATTTTGTCTAACAAGTGAGGCTATGATAGGATGATTCAAGAATTTCATGGAGTAAACAAAAAATTTATTAGTACTCTTTCAAAATGTGAAAGGCAGCCTCCACTATCTCTTACAACTTCTAAACTTATATATTCAGTCCATAATTCTGTCTTTCTTATGAGACATCAGTTCTAGATTTAAGTTCCTGTCTTGCACAAAAGTTGCTCTTCCCTTGGTGCTCCCTATCACAAGAGGAGGAACCACCATCCATGCAGTTTTCAAGCCCCAAACCTGGAAAGAGGCATCCTTGATACCATCCTTTTCCATATTCACCACAGACAATCAATAATCAAATACTATGATTTTTAATAACACATTTTTTCCTTATCTCTTTCTCTGATTGTCTTCACCTCTAATTCCACTGGCCTATTCCTAAACTATATCTTCTGCCTGAAAAAAAATGAAATGACTTCCTGATTTATCTCCCAACCACCATCATTATCCTTCCAACCCACTCTCTATACAAGAGCCAAAGCGAATATTTTTCTGCTGAGGAAGATTCGTCTTGCACTAACATCCACTACCAATCTTCCTGTTTTTGTACATGAGCCGCTGCCTCAGCATGGCCACTGAAAGAACAGTGGTGTAGGTTTGTGCATGGGAACCGAACCCAGGCTGCCAAAGCAGAGCGTGCCGAACTTAACCACTAGGCCACTAGGGCTGGCCCCAAAGCGAATTTTTAGAATGAAATTCTGATTATGTCACTGCCCCACTAGGATCCTTCAGTGGCTTCCCATTGTTTTTAGGATAAAATCTAGAATCGCAAAAAAATTTACAAGTGTCAGTCTGCTCTCATCAGTCTCACCACATGCCACCTCACAGCATTAGCCTTCATCATCACCCTCCTTGTTCACGACCTTCTATAATACGACACTCTTGTAAAGCCACTTCTCTCACTAGGAATCTTGGCATATGTTGTTCCCACCGTGTGAAATACTCATTCCCCCTCCTTTGGAGCTCAGCTTAAATGTCATTTTCTCAGGGATACCCTCTCTGAATCCCCTGACCAAGTTAGATTGTACTATAATTTTCTCATTGCATTTTTCTACATTTTCTACGTAGTATGTTTTAATATTACAATTAAATATTTATTAATGAAACTACATTCATTTGCCGTCTGTCTTGCCACCCTCAAATATCCATCAGGGCAGCTTTTGTTTCTCTTTTATTTCACTTTTTTTCCTTAAGGTGTTCATCTACCTTCTTGTTTGAATCCATGGTGACTATCACAGAAGAGAAGATATAAGCATATTAAAATAATGAAGGATGGAAGGGAAAGAATTGAAGAACTAGCTTTTCTTAACAAGCACCTTGATGGAGAAACACAGACAAATCATGATACTTTTCTATTTAGACTTAAGCCTCACATGCCTTCAGATTTCAGCAAATTTCTCCAAAGGAAAAAGAATTTTGTCTTTCTTGGCTTCATGTGATTACCAAAAACTCTGCCAGTTCACTTGTCCCCCATTAGTGACCCTCCCCCTGGACCTCATCCAGACTGTCAGCATTGAGCCCTTGTCAAGAATTGACAAGAGCCTCAGAGACAGCTTTAGATCCCCAATTTGCCTCTACAAGCTTCTGCTGTCTCTGGAATTTTAATCCCTCTAGTCCTCTGCCACTTTGTGCCTTTAAATATATGATTTTTATCATTTAACCCAGCTTCTTTGGTTATCCTCTGTAGGAGCATCGGTATGCTGCGAACTACTCCATCCTACCCCACTTCCATGACTTTAATTATCACTTATTTGATAATGATTTCACAATTTCTGTCTCTGACTTTTATTGTACTTTTTAAAAAACTCAACTTTATTGAATTTGTAGTATAACTACATGCTTTGGAAAGCAAAACAATATAAAGAGAACACACTGGAGAGACTTGGTTGCTTAAACCCCTGCCCTCATCTACCCCCATTTCTATTCCACCCCCTGAGGTTACCATTTTAATTACTTTCTTGTTTATACCTCCAGTGTTTGAATTTGTAGTATAACTACATGCTTTGGAAAGCAAAACAATATAAAGAGAACACACTGGAGAGACTTGGTTGCTTAAACCCCTGCCCTCATCTACCCCCATTTCTACTCCACCCCCTGAGGTTACCATTTTAATTACTTTCTTGTTTATACCTCCAGTGTTTCCTTATGCAAACACAAATAACTATAAATGCATAGATCTATATTCCCTTCTTCTTCACAGGAAGTAGCATACTATATTCACTGTTCTGCACCTGATGTTTTCATTAACAATACATCTTTAAGGTCCTTTCCTATATGAACATAGAGCTTCTCCCTAGTCATTTTTTTAGTTACATTACATTGCATTGTGCAGAAATGTAATCATTTATTCAACCAGTCTGTTGCTCCTTTACGCTTAGTTTTTATCCCAGTGTTTTTTGTTATATATATAATATATTATATTTACTATACATATATTACAAATATAATGTGTATGTACATAATATAGATGACCTTACAGGTGTAAAGATATCTGTTTGCAGGATATCTGCAATAAGGATTTCAAGCAGCACAAGTGCTGGGATAAAGGGTAAACATATCTGCAATTTTTTTAGGTACTACAGATACCATTTCATAGGAGTTGTACCATTTTGTGCTCTTTCAAGCACCTTATGAAAGTATCTGGTTCTACACAGCCACATAAATAGATTCTATTATCAAAGTTTTATCCCAGTCAACTGAATATGTAAGAAATATTATCACATTAAAATTTTAATTTCTATGTTCCTCATTATGGGTGTATTTGTATTTTGAACATCCTTTCATATTTGTATTTGTATTTTGTTTTCTTTGACGCTTTTGCACTTTTCTATTGGGTTGTTAATCTTAAAACAGCTTTACTTATTAGAGGGATTAATCTTTTTATAGAATATGAGTTGCATATATTCATTGTTGCTTGACTTTTGCTTTGCTTATTATTTTTAATTTTATGGACTAAAATTTATTAGTCTTTCCCTCATGACTTCTAGATTTTGAGTCATAGCTAGAAATATCTTCCTGGGGCCGGCCCTGTGGCTTAGCGGTTAAGTGCGCGCGC